GATCGGGGCGAGGTTCCCGATCGGGAGGTCTTCCACTTTGCTCACTGTTGGGCCTTGGTTGGCCCTGGTGCAGCCTTCGCCTTCTGCTTCAACGCCGCCAGCCTGGTTTCCAGGGCGATGATCTCCTCCAGGGTAGCCGGGTCCATCTCGGTCTCCATTGAGCGCATCACTTCGGGGTCGTACCCGGAACTGGAGGCGCCTCTCTTGTTGGCCCTGGGGTCGATCGGGAGGTCCTTGGCGGTGTGGTTCCGGCTCTTGTCCGTGACCTTCTCCCATCCCTCGTTTGCGGATGAAACTGACCATTGGGTCGCGTCCTCCGAGTAGGGCACCGTCGCGTTGGCCTCCAGGGTGTTCCCGTCGCCGTAGTGGATCTGGTACTCGTACTCCTCCCACCACTTCGCGTAGCGCACGAGTTCCGGGTGCGGGTTCGAAGACATCCTTATCTCCCGGGCCGCCCACATTCCGTATTGACGGGGGATCTCCTGGAACTCGAAGCCCTTGTATCTCCCGATCTTCATCAGCTCTGTCCCGGGCGTCGAGACGAAATCCCTGATGAGGCGCAGTAAGTTGCCCTTCGTGATCTTCGTCGGGTACACCACGCCCAGGGTGTCCGCCTTGGCCTTGAGCTCGGCGAGCGTGAGGTTGGTGATCGACTTCATCGTGGCGGCCTGCTGGTACGCCGGGTCGTTCATGCGATGCTCCATGATGGTGGCCTTGATTTCCTCCACCGTCCACGATCTGTGTACCACCAGGCCCAACCGGTTCGCTTCCGAGAGGAGCTCGGTCTTGGACATCTTCGAGATCGCCGGGGGCTTGCATGCCATGCTGCGCGGTGGACGAAAGCGATGCTGCAGGGGCGCTATCTCTCAGCTTTGCGAAAGTTGATCTTCCGACCCATAACAACGGGAAAGAGTTCTCGGCTTGCGCATCCTTCCAGTGATCTACGGCGACCTCGAGTGGCTTGCTTGTCCTACAGCAGAACCCTTGAGTGATTCTGAGGCCTCCGATGGATTGCAGGAGCATGCTCTTCTGAACGGTATGCTGAGTCTTCCATGTTGACGGATTACACAAAGCTCTCCTCGGTACAACATGTATACGATGCCATGCTGTATCGCTTTCCAACCAGAAATCTGACTGCACCCCGGTCTTCTCCCACCAACCAAGAAACGAAGCCTCATGTAAACGATCCTGCGTGAGCAACTCCTTGATCTCTGGGCTGAGCTTTTTATCATGAAAGATCCTGTATGGAGGGGCCTTGGTGGTAGAAGTGGCGACTGCTGGTGTAGTGGTAGGCTTTGCAGATGACGAAGTAGTGACTTCCGTGGATTGTAGTGGGCCTGAAGGACTTTGTCTCACACTACCGCTGCTCCCCTGATGCAAAACCGAGAGTGCGTAAGCCGTGTATTGCTGCCCAGCCGAGGCGGAGGTCTCTCCGATGACCAGTCGCTCGTGGCCATGCTCCGGCTTTGCCGGCACGATGGGAATCGCTGGATGTCCCGACGAGGTCGTGACAAGATCGAATCCGTGGATCCCAACACGAGTAAAGTCTGCTCGGTTTTCTGCAACATCGTATATCATCCCGAGCTGCGCCAGCGCCTGCTTCGACATCAAGAGGGGCACGTCGCCGTTGATGATGGAGGTCCGCATCTCCACCACGTGCTGGCCCATCTTGAAACAGAGCACCACGTGGAAGGACGAGTGGTGCACCTTTCCTGTTCCGAAGCGGAAGGCCTCACTTTCGCGCACCAGCTCTGGACGTTGGTGAATCCGTTGTAGTGCGTCGCTGTACTGCTGCAACCACATAGTTCCGGCCACCGCCTTTGCACATGCGGTATCAGTGATCCCCAAAAGTGCTGGCCCATCATGGCGCAAGGAGAAAACTTCGGCTGCAACATGGTGGCACACTTCTACCTCTTTGACAACCTTGTTTCCTCCTCCTCCACTGCCATGGTTGGGGCATTCTTGATCGCGGTGCCAGTGCCCCTTCTGTCCGCAGCTGCTGCAGTACGATCGC